TGTTGGCTCCAAAATTTGGGTTCATTTCAAGAAATATTGATGAATACTAGAAAGAAGTGCAGACAAAATTTGGGTAAGAAAGTCTGGTGGTGAAAAGGTTAACATGTGGCATACATAGTGTCTTACAGTGTATGTGTTCATGTCTAGAATTATTATTGTAAAATATTGTTACTGCAGTATGTACTAAAATGTGTACAAACACAGAAAGCACACATCACCGCGAAAACATTTGCATATATCTTTAACAGTGACTAGTCATTCAAAGAGAAACATAAACAAACTCTCAAGATTCTCAATCTTGTATGCATGCATCGTTTCTTTGTATTTTAAAAATGTTCATCCACCATTGACAGAGCTCTGAAACTGTCTGCCTAAAAAAAGCAAAAAAAAATAGTGCCCACGAACCTGCTTCTATATCTTAAGGGACAACATCAAAAGTTCAATGTAGGATAAAAAACGTAATTCCTTTAGTTTTTTCCCAAACCCCCCTACCCCCCACTGAAACTTAATTGATAAATATTGACCATGGCGTCAGACTACATTCACCATTAAATACAAATTGATAATCTGACAGTAGTTTGGCATAACAGTTGGTTGTCGGGTGGGTGTAAAAAGACTTTACACTCAGACCAAACTATTTTCTCATCTTGGATGTTTTTTTTCATTTTCTGTTATTTTTGTCTATGATTGGATAGAAAAAAAACGAATTACAATGACTCCAAGATATTTTTGACTTCATTAAAAAATAAAATGGTTTTTGTTGGATAGAAACTTTTGAGGTCAAAACCTGCCACCCCCAAACTAAAGTAAATAAGTTTTTTTATCCGACATCAATCTTTTGACGTCGTTCCTAAGCTAATTGTGTTAATGACATCTTAGGCTGCATCTCTAACTTGCTGTTTATTTTGAATCTTCTTTTACCATAGTAACATAAACTGAAGTGTATGATTAGAAGCATTGTTGTCATTAATTCATTTTTATTTATTTTTAATTTTTTGTTTTTTTAATTAATTTTTTTTTTTTAGGCAGATTTGGTAATCAAGCAGAGCATTTTCTTGGATCGTTAGCTTTTGCTAAATTATTGAATAG